ATATATATATATATATATATATATATATATATATATATATGTGTGTGAAATAAAGCTTTGGCATAACCGAGTCAATTAATTAATGGCTAATGCCTTAAAGCACATGTCCTCGCTGGATTTCAAAGGTTGCCACTTGCCAGTGGGCTTGACTTGTTTTCTTTTGAGTAAACGTTGCTTTGCTTTAATTTTACGTTTTTTATTCTTATTTTTTACATTTTTTTTTGGGGGGATTAGATGATTTTGCTTCACTTTCTTTATATGTACCATGAACGATATGGCCTACCAATGTAACAAAAAAGAATACCAATGGGGACAACGAAGACATCAAACGTTGCTCTTCCCTTAACTACTTTACTTCTTCTGCTCATTTGTGTTTTCTCTCATGTCGGAGCCGTCGAGGCAACAAGTCGAAGACTAGGTCAGTATCTTTTTCTGCATCTGTTTTTAGCCATTTTCAAACACATACTCACTAAACATTTAGAAAGATCTCGTTTGTCTCATTGGGATCTAGATTTGGATGTATATATACGACATTTCAGATAGTGAATCACGCAAATCTTGTGTCTACTTGAGCAAATGCTGGATACGTTGAACAAAGAACCAAAAAAAAAAGAGGTCCTGACTTTATTGACTGGTGCGAGGAAATTGTTCTTTAACATGTAGTTTAAGTGCAGGAACCATAGAGACTGGACCCTCCATATCACGGCCCGGTGGAGGAAGAAACCACGACGCAGAAAAGATGGCTACGGAAGCCACGAGCTACAAAAATGGAGTTCCTTGATTATAATTCCATTGGAAGAATCGCAGGTGTTACATCTGTTTGAACAAATAAGCAATGGAAGTGTCTGATGTCTAATTAAGAACCAATGATCTACTGCTTGTCATTGTTGTTGTTGTTGTTGTTGTTGTTGCTGGTTGTAGTTCTATTCCTGCCATGGACTGCTGCTTGTGTTACTCCTTTCTTTATATACAAGCATTTAATACAAGTGCACATGATCCTGCTCAAGCTTTCAGATTGCAAAGAACAGTCCGTCGTTCCTTCACCGATTCACCTCTGAACCCCTCTCCGAGAATCAGAAACGGAAAAAGGCACAGAGAAGTTTTTACGAGTTCGGCTCAACCGAGTCGCGGACGGGCGGCACCGACAACACTCTAAGATCACCGATTTACGACTCAAATCGGCGGCCACAACAAGATCTAAGGCTTGACGGAGAAAAACTCGAGTAAAAGACCGAACTAGGAACAACAAACCAAAAGGAACGATCGATGCCACCTGAGATGCTCCCGACGATGCAGCCCCGATCGCCGTCGATCTCCGCTCGCGGTCACGCATCCGTCCCCCTCCGTCGGGTCTTCTTTCTCCTCCGCGCGTCCTCCGCGGCCCGTGTATCGAAAGGAAGAGGAAACTAGGGTTTAGTCAACGCTAAAGGCAGAGCCTCTGAGAGCACCGGAAGGTTTAATTCCTTCACAATTTAATAATTTTGTTTCGGGTTCTCAAATCTTTTGACTTTTTTTACCATAACAAATATTTTGTCATGTAACACAATAAAGTTCGATTTAATGTCGTAATTTTATATTAAATTAAAGAAAACGTTGGGTCCACCGATTAATGACGACTCTTTTTTCTTGGGTAAACGCGGTTTTGCTCCAATTATTTTTATTTTTGTTTTATTTTATCGGAGGGTTAGGTGATTTTGCTTCAATGTCTTTATATGTAGTTATGTATGCATATGATATGGCCTTCCAAGTCCAAGGTAACACAAAAGAATATCAATGGGAACAGCAAAGCCATCAAACGTTGCTCGTCTCCTGACTTTGCTTCTTCTGGTTTTTTGTGTTTCCTCTCATGTTGGAATCGTCGTCGAAGCAACACACCGAAAACTAGGTCAGTCTATACACACACACACACACATATATATATATGTTTCTAACAATTTTGAGATACGTACATATACCCACTAAACATTTCGAAAGATCTTGTTTTCTTGATTGAGAGAGTATACAAGATATCGAATCTCTGGAATCTGATTTCTACTTGATCATGTGATATTTTCTTGTGCTTGTCCAGAGATTTTGACTATAGATCTGCTTCAAAATTAGATAAGACTCGTGGCCCAATCTTTGGAGACTAGTTTTTTTTTAGTGAACACCAGTTGTAAGAAAAAAAAGAAAGAAGATAAGGTTTTATATATATATATATTCATTGGCTTTAGTTTTGTCTTTGAGGTTGATTTCATTTTTGCTTATACGTATATACGTGTTGACTTGTATGTATATATATGTCACAAGTCGACATGAGAGGCACAATATACACCCCACCCTCTGACTCATGCGGAGCTCAAATAGGGAAATACGCAACGGAGGTGATGGAGAAGAGACGAAGAAGATGCAGGCATCCGTGACATTGAACCCGACCGCATTTTCACATGATTTGTATCAATCTATTACGCAATATCTCGTCTTTTTCTAAGCGTTTTACATGGTCTTTCTTTTGGTGGTATATGCTTATGAATACCATTATATTATTTCTTGTGGTCAAAATCAAACTTTCGTTCCACGTTCCGATGTCCCTAACTACATCGGATTCCCAAGCAACGTTGATAAAAATCTTGTTTAAGGTTTGACCATTTTGAACTTTGATATCCAACTGGTCTTAATCTTTGGTTATGGTTAATAATTTCCGTAACAATGATGCTTTCATACCGAGGAATAGCGCGCTTTCCTTTTTACGTTTGAATTTTTTGGATTCGGGTTTTGTTTTGATTCACTTTCTTTAAAAAAAAAAAAGATAAATATTTATTTTTAAAAATTCAATTTTTTTTTTGTTTTTTAAGAGTTTTATATTCGAATGTCATTCCTTTCCAATCTAAAATTTTCGGCTTTTAAATTTTTTGTAGGTATTTCGATTTTTATATTGATTTAACACCGTTACAAAACTGAAACTGAAATGATCACCGTTAATAAATTACGACACAATTTAAAATTAATTTCCTTTTAGCTGACATCGAAGAATACCAACCTGCCTCGGGCCGAAAGTGATCATTTTTATTGGTGGGAAAGATTTTGATTTGGGCTTAAAAATGACAGCTTTTTTATTATTTCCGTACGTATTCTTAAAAGTGCATACTATTATTATTATTAATATATATAAATATATATTTCAATTTGAAAATTACAATAAACATTTCAAGAACTAATTCACGTATTTGGAGAGAAAAAAAATATATTTTTTAAATAAAAATGCGGGATATGTTTTTTTATTTGTATGAAAGGTGTCCAAGTTCTGGGAATTTGTTAAGACCTCTTTTCCGGGAAAGAAAACGTTGCAGACTTTCGTTGTCTAATGTACAAAGTGGAGGCCCAATCACAAACTAATTATGACTTCTCTTTTTGAGTAATACAAATACACATTCGACCAAATAAATAAAATAAACTATGTCTACGCTCGGACATCGGCTATCTACATTTTTATTTAATATACATGACGCAATATATAGCCATAATGCAAGTTTCACCACGTTAATTTCAGAAATAAATTGATTGAAAACTTTTCAACAAGTTCATCCATCCACACATTTATATAATAATAGAATTTGTATTATATTATTTATGAGAGAGAGAGAGAGAGGTGTGTGTCTAGGAAACTTACAAAACTGCGTCTCCTTGTCCTTGCGCTAAAATACCATCTACGTACTATCATCCGAGATTCAAATACAGTTGGCGGCTTTGGCCCTTTTCAGTTTCTTTCCGCGAAACTAGTAATCTCTCTCTCTCTCTCTCTCTCTCTCTCTCGTGTGTGTATATATACGCACGCATATATATACCCTCTTAATTATAATTGGGAAAAAGAAGTGTACGTGTAGTGAGAGAGAAGAGATCATCAATGGCGAGGGAGGCATCACGTGTAGCTCTTATCATCATATCTTTGCTTCTTCTACTTTTATGTCTATCCTCTCAACTTGGGGTTGCCGCCGCCATTAGACACCGCAAACTAGGTAATACACCTACTTTAACCAATTAGGGGAACAAAACCCAATAAAATAACTAAAATGATTGAACTGTTTCTATTGTAATTCTCTTATTTGGTCGTATTATAATTCCAAGGAAATATACGTTACCGTATTGGGAATTAATATGTAAACTCTCTAATCGTGTAAAAACTATCCATAAATGGCAGCGGACGATGACGGCGAAGAGAGAGGACTGACCCCACCGTCGCACTCATGCGGAGCAGGGATTGGAAACAATCCTTCAATAGTCACAGACAGGGTCCGACGATCACCAGGCTGTAGAAGAAGATCTCCACGTGCTTCCGCTCAGAACCACGCCACGTCATCCCCTTGAAGAACCACCCGTCCACTTCTAGCCGTTTTTATATATAAATAATGTGCATGCATGCGCTTGATTATGTCTTGTAATTTTGTTTTTATATTTATTCTTTCTGGGGGTAAAAGGGTGATTCTATTAATACTTTCAAACATATAAAAAAAAATGTTCAAATAAATCTTGATTTGCAATAGCGGATGCTATCTTGTAATTTTCTTGGACCTTCAGATGTGGCTACAAAATTGTATAATTCGTGCGAAAAGTTCATATAATCAAATAATCTGAACTTTTTTTTTTTTTTGATAATCGGGTGATCCCAAACCCAAAGGCCCAGACTAATTCCGACCCACGCGCACGACCCTGCAACACACACGTGGGATGTGAGTCACCCGAAGGTGGCAGATGAGAAAATCTCCATACTCTGTGTGTTGAACTCACGACCTCTCTTGGGAAAGTGAGCTCTCAACCACTAGAGATGGGGTAGATCCCCAAATAATCTGAACTTTGGTATAATGTTTCGAGTGATATACGAGCAAATGATTATTTTTATTAACTGGTCTTCCGGCCATTTTTCAAACAGGGCTGCTTGGCGTCACTTTCCGTAATTATAGAGGATTAGGGTCTGAAAATGGGCTGCCATCCAGTGGACCTACTCCGAATCCGTCCATGTTTTTCTGTGACGATATATAATATTACAGTCCCAGCAAAAAAAGGGCACGATCAATGATCCACGGGTCAACCCATAAAGACGACGGGATAGTCCAAGATCCTAACCCTGAACCCTGACATCTTTTAAAAGGTAATTAAGATAGAAAGGTACATATGGTAATGTTTTTAGTGCAAAATTGGCTCAAATATTATTTTGTGCAATAAAAATTGGAACAGGTTGTTTATTATTATTATCAAACTTGTAATTATAAATACAAAATCAAATTAAGTTTTCTACCTTTTTATCCAAATTAATATATATGTATGATAAACTTTTAATTGTTGTATTTTAACAATATTAGCTCATATTTTCTAAAATTTAACTATGCGGATTAATTTATATTTTATTTCGTATAAAATCAGAAAGATTGTACTATTTGTACTAGCTTTAGCTTATATAGTTTTCGTTTTAAATATATAATTCTGCAGTTTATATAATTTGTTTAGTTATTATACTCGGAGTAATATTACAACTTTGAACAATTCCTACGCCCAACATCCGGTGGTGTTTCAACGCTCTAAGAAGAGTCTCCCTCATGCGACCGTACACGTTTCCATCCCACGCTCGCTTGACCAGCTCCTCCCCTAACCTAACCGCGGCCTGGACCGTCTCGGCCGCGCCATCATGAGCCGAGTCCACAATCCCCATCTTCACCGCCTCCTCCGCTTTCACCTTTGCCGACGCTAACACCACGTCCCTCCTTGCCGCCGACGAACTGATCTTCAGATGGATCAAGGGCATGTACCACGCCGGAACTACGAGGCCCACGTCGAGCTCGGGCACGTAGAGGAATCCCCTGTCGCGACGCATCAGGACGTAGTCGTGGCTGAAGGCCAGGCCGAGTCCCGCACCCGAGGCGTGGCCGGTGACCGCAGCGATCGTGGGCATAGGGAGGGAGATAAGGTCAGCAACGAGGGAACGGAACTTGGCTTCCATGACTTCTAAAAGAGATGGATCGGTTCGGGCGGCCACGATATCGAGGCCGTTGCAGAAGAATTTGCCTTCGGCTGTTGTGATTAGGACAGATCGTGTAGCCGAAGGGTCGGACCGGATGTTGTGGACGGCCGAGTGGATTTCGTCGATCAAGGCTCGGCTGAGGCGGTGTTCGTCGCCATGGCCGGTAAGCGTCAGTATGAAGACGTTTCCTCGCTTCTCCAACGTACACATGTCTGTAATAACAACCACAGTGGTGCTAGGGGGACTATTAAACGAATGTATATATAATAAAGTTTTGCAAACTTAACTTTATTGGACCGACGAATTTAAATCGGAAATGAAAAAAATGTGTGATAAATTATTAACCCAACAAAGAAAAAGAAAAGAACTTAGTGAATATCGAAATGAAAATGAAATGAAAACCGGTGAACAGCTTGATGTATGTCACTCGAAATTTGAAATTTCGGTTTGTTTTAAGAGAAATTGAATCGAATAATTTGGGAGGAAGCGAATGTGTAACTTAGTTCTACAGTTTTGATCCACTGTTCCGCACCACATCAGATACGGTCTCATCAAAACCAATGACATCAAGCACCTCTCGCATAGCCATCTCTCTAATCCGACCGTACACGTGTCCCTCAAGGTTCATTTCCTCGCCCAATTTGACGGCGGCTTCCACCGTCTCTGCCGCGGATCCGTGAGCCGAGTCCACGATCCCCATCTCCACCGCCTCCGTCGCCGTCAACTTCTTCGCCGTCAACACCACGTCCCTCCTCGCCGCCGGCGACCCGATCCTCGTCCGGATCAGGGCCATGAACCACGCCGGCATCCTGAGGCCGATGTCGAGCTCGCTCATGTAGAGGAATCCCCTGTCGCGACGCATCAGGATGTAGTCGTGGCTCATCGCGAGGATGAATCCGGCGGCGGAAGCGTGGCCGGTGACGGCGGCGATCGTCGGTATCGGGAGGGAGATGAGGTCGGCGACGACGGATCTGAGCTTGGCGCTCATTACAGGGAAGAGAGAGGGATCCGATTTGCCGAGATCGAGATCGTAGCCATTGGAGAAGAACTTGCCTTCAGATGTGGTGATGAGGACCGAGTTGGAGGACGATGACTCGGCCCGAACTCGGCGGACGGCAGAGCCAATGGCGTCGAGTATGGCGGGGCTGAGGCGGTGCTCGCCGTCGCCGGTGAGAGTCAGTACGAACAGTCGACCTCGCTTCTCTAACGTACACATCCCTCTATGCAATCATTCAGTAGTTCTCTGAGAAGCACAGATTAGTACAACGGGAACTAGAATATTATCATTATTTTATACATTTAGTCTCATTTATATGACCTACTAATTTTATTTTAGACATACATAACTTTATTTTTAATGATGGTGGTGCTATCCGAATCGATATACAAATCATTTCAATTTAGTTACATATAATATAATCGATTTGATATTAAATATATGCAAATTTATTTTAATTTATATAGGCAAACTTTCATAATAATACCAAATTTGTAATCGACGTCAATTTAAAACAAAATCGATCAAATCATATATAAATCAGATTCACCAAAATAGCAAAAAAATGACGAATTCTTTTTTATTTATTTATAAATATTCAAGATAAAATCGAGTTCATCATATAAGTTTTGAAGACCCTTATTTTGATATATTTCAACTATACGAAGGCATTATATTTTATTTTCTAAACTTGTAATCGGAGATACATATCTCGCAACGGTAAGTGAAATACTTGTAATGGAAGGTGTGATAATATCGAAAGGGGAAATGTCATAAAAAAGGAAAGCTACGGTGACTTGTGTGGCTCAGACGACGACGGCTCATCATCAGCTTCTTCCACATCTTCTGTCTCGCTTGCTAACTTCACAAGATCTTCCACAAGTATCTTCCCCTCTGTTTTTTTTTTCACATCCAAAAACAAAAAGAAAGAACACATGGAAATGCGAATCATGCTTTTGGTAACCAACACAAGCAACCAAACAATATTGCACAAGTAAACCTCTTTCCCCAAAGATTGTCGGAAACTAAACACTTACCTCTATCTTTAGAAAGATTGTCGAGGAGTTCTTGGATACCCTCTTTCCCCAAAGTGTCTTTAAGGTACATAGCCGCCGATGCCACCTCCTCCTGAGTGACTTTTCCATCATAATCTCTGGAAACACGGGAATTCGATGTTTCATCTCACACGTAAAAGGAAAACGAGAAAGAAAAAACGGGAATGGCCCGAAACTCCAAAGGGTACGGACCGGTCAAGCAGTCTCCAGCGGTTGCCAATCTTGTTATCAACATGATCTATTTCCTTTTCGAGTTTTTGAAGCATTGTTTCTACCTAAAAGAGGACGGAACGAAAAACCCATCATCCCCTTTTTAGTATACGGCATCAAGATCAGGGAATTTACAATCTTTGGATAATTTGATGCCTGAGAAAAGTGTAATGAAATGGTTACCCTGTCTAAGAGTGCAGAAGATGCTTTGTCGCTGATGGCTTTCTGAGCGCTTCTATCACTATCTTCTCTAGCGGCTAAGTACGCCTGCCATGCTTCTTCCTCACCATCGGTTCCACCTTTCTCTACCATGCTATTGTAAAGATCCATCTGTACTCAAAGAAACAAGCTTTAACTATTTCAGCTTTGAATTCAAAACAAGATAGCAAAGAGATGTGTAGAAGATAGAAGATAGCAAAATTATAAGGAGAGACTGCAAAATTTCTAAGCGAGTTACCTCTTTTTTTACAAGTTTTAGGAACTCTTCACGCTCCATGCTCACGGACTGAAGCATGCATTGAAACCAGAAATTAGAAGCAATAACAAGATTGCATACCCTGAAACTCTGACGATCAAAGAGAATGAAAAGGGGTTTGAGCCCATACAGATGCAGAAGCCAAGACCGCCAATGCACGACTGAGCTCGCAAAGCTGCTCATGTTTCTCCAGAGTTTTTGCCGTTGCTTGTTCCTTGGCATCCTTAGCAGTGGCAGCCATCATCTCATCCAGAGCTATATCCTTTTGGCTAGAAGCAGACTCTTTCATCTTGATCTTGGCCATTTCCTCCTCTTCCTCTTCCTCCTCCTCCTACAGTTTAATCCATTCAGATATCAAGAAATAGATAACTTATGGCATGGTAAACTAAATCTATACTTCACATACATAAATAATTGTCTAAGAAGCTCACAGATAATTGGGGAAGAATGACTTGAGTTAGAGCCAAAAAAAATAGTAGAGATGTTTGAGCACATAATACTAACAATAAGGTGCTCAATACTTCTACTTAGTATTAAAAACCGAGAGTAAGGGAAGCATGAAATTAGGAACCTTGATCAATTCTTCTTGCATTTCTAGGAATTCAAGCTTCCTCTTTCTTTCCGAAACAGAATCTTCCGATGGCAGAGCTGTCACACCGACAGTATCCACAACCTCATCTGGCAAAGATGAGAGGGTAGCCTGTACAGCCTCTTCTGGCTTAAGTTTCCCAGCCACAGAGAAAGCTCTGTCAAATACACACAGGAGAAGACATGCCACAACATCAATTCCAATCTCTCGTTTAAACCCAAGGAGTTGAAGATAAAAGCTGACCTCGAAAGAATTAAGAGAGATGATGGTACTGAATGGTTAAGAGACAAATCCAGCCAGTCACGCAACTGCAAAGTAAGCTTGTAGAATTAGGAATCAGTTATATATATACTCTCAACTTTTAAAAGAACAGATAAAATGGCTAACTGATCTTTCTAATTGTATAGAAGGAAAATAATCCATTCAAAATCTTACAGGGCAGAGATGGAATGCTGATTTCTATGTATGGTAAGGATTAGCCTTTTCGTAATAAAGCATATTCCAAGTATAAGGTTAGGCAAATAACCTGCTGCCTCGTTTCGTCCACTGGGCCAAGTTCAATCATTCCTCTCTCTCTGCAAGCTTGACGAAGTTCAGCTTCTGAGAGAGATTCCACTCCTTCTATCTGGATCATCTTGTCATCTTTCTTGATCCTGCCAAGTCCAATAAAAAGGTATTATACATTTTGATCATGTGAAAATGACAGCTACAATAAAAATTCGTAGATTTGTTTCTTATATAGCAACTTAAATTCACTACAATAAATATTATACTACTAAAATAGATCATCAGAAAGGGATAAATAACTGCGACATGCTCATCTGCAGACACGTTTGTAAAAAGTTGTTCTTGAGATTAGAATTAGAAGGAAACGAATGCAACTTCCAGAAGCAAATACACACGGAAAAAATGTGAAAACATCACTGAACTTACTCTTGCAATCTTTTCCGAAGCATATAACGTAAATATGCATCAGTCCCATATGGACTAATACCCATGTATTTGCACATATTTACCAAGCGAGGCCTGCACTCAACAACAGAAAAGGCAACTAACAGAAAATAACCTAAAAGAGTATAAATAATGAGAACTGGCAGTATCATGGAATGATCCAATCATCCAAACAATTGGATGGATGCCTAACCTGTTAATGTTATCCAACGTGAGCTCATCATTGAATAGCTTTGCAAAGCCTAAAATTTCTTCATTTGAAACACGGACTCCTCTTCTGACCTGCCCAATTGAAAATGAAGCTAAAAATACAACTGGACAGAGATAGAAGGGAGTCACTAGCATAAAAAGATGATAAAATTGCCTCACCTTGTTCAGAAATTCATCCAAATCTTCTGCTGTCTTTTTAGCTTCACCACTACGCGAGGTCTGGACTTCCTTTGCCATTTCTTTCACAGTATCCTGGAGAAACTTTGCATATTCCATTCTTGCATTAAGTCTTCTTTTCAGTTCCTCCTACAAGACAAACATTCTGGCAGTGAGCTTCATCTTTGCGACGTGGGCCGGCCGACAGGACAGAAAGATCAAATGATTTCAAAATTCTGGTATTATTTACCGCCGCATCTAACATTATTTCGGACTTCAATTCTATTCATGTTCCTTCCCAGCATAAAAATAACTGCTGTATGCTAATTCCGAAAGTTCTTTGAGATCAGGAGAAACAAAAATCAATTTAGTCTTGATACATTAATCATAAGACTAAGCTTATGTTCAAGATACTTCAACGTCAGCCCAAAATGAAAGTTCATGGTCACATTTTATATCATCAAAATAAAAGGAGGAAAAAGCACAGATTAATTGCATCCCTTTAGTTTTATTTTCTGGAAGCTAAAAGTCGAGTGAAACCAGTAAGCACATAATGATGAAATACCGTAAATTGAGAAAAAATTAAAATCTGTTACCTACCAGTACTACTAATAATGTAAATGATTTAAGAAATCCTAAGCCATTCTCTAAAGAATCAAACACATAAGGCCACCACCACTCCAGTTAGAAAGTTGTCAACAATAAAAAGTATCTCCCAATCACTCTTTCAGACCACCAAATCTGCAATTCTAGCAAAGAATAGGATAACACAACATAGAAAGAATACGAAAGCATTGAATACAGACTTTAAGTGTACCTCTTCTTTCATCTTGTCCTGGAAAGTTGATGGCAGCATATTTGGAAATAACTTTAGGAACACTGGTAACAAAAACTCCATGAATGGAACAATGATGAATACAGCAACCGGAACTAGTCTAAAAATATCGGCAGTTGTCCGAGTGAGTTGCTGCCTTTCCCTCCTCGAAAGACCTTTTCCATTGGCAAGTTTCACAAGTAGCCTTACACTGATCCTGATATCAGCCCAAAGCAACTTTGTGCCTAACCAGTAGTGTTGCATGGTAGATTTAAATTCATCCTTCCAATGGCGAAGCTTCTTCGCCCAATCTTCCCTGTACATAGATTAAATGTTATCATAACTACTGAAGACATTGAGAACCTTGAAGATATAACAAAAATTACAACTGCAGCCTGACCTGCTCATTGAGGCAATAGCTCTCAAAGCAGGACCTATTCCCATAAGCACAGACCATACACGTTGCATTATGGATTTATCAGTCTTTTGGGATTCTTCCATTTTCATTGCTTTAGCTTTAGCTTTAGCCAAACTTAATCCCTCGACCGCTTGGTCACACTCCTCAGGAGAAGCCTCTTTGGCTTGTGAAGTAGGTTGCTGTGCCTTTTTGTCACTATCTTTCCCTGGATCAGGTTTGCTGGCTGTTGCCATAGAAGAGTACATTGATTTAACAATCCATCTATAACTCAAGGGGTAAAAGAATTCCAATCTTCCAACTCCATGACTAAAATTTGGAGACTGGAGTAATCTACTCCTGCGGAACCCCGCCACTGATGGGGCTGATTCTTTACTCTTGGGAGCAGAAAACAATTCCCCATCTCGGCAATCAGGCTTTCTGGATGGATGGCTGGAATCTGAATTCGGTCTCCTTACTGATGCATATCCTTGCACTCCTTCCCGCTGGATGGTTGAGAGGCATTGGATCGAGTGTACTTGTTCATTTATGGAACGGAATATGTACGTCCTCCTTCGGAGGAGCGCTCTAGAAGCCATTGTTTTTTACCGTCTTTTAACTCTCAACAGTATGACCAGCTACATACCAGATAAGCCGAATCCTACACAAATCTGTACAATGATTGTTCAAAAGAAATGTCGTTAACGTGCTGATATCATACAATGGAAACTTTCAGATAGCAGTAAAACACTAAATACAGATATGCTCCATAGACATTTTGCTAAAACCATACTGCGATTCAGAAATGAATCACACTTGAAACCAGAGAAAGAGGGGAAAAGAGTTTGGGACGAATTTTCTGTGTATTCAAATTCAAAAGAGGAAAATGGTTCTTATAAAAGACAATTAAAATCTCTCAGATTTCCATCTGCACTGATGGAACATCATAACCAAACTTCCAATAAGCACCCGATTTCCTGACTCACTGTCTCGTCCTAAATACATTGATTTCCCTCTATGAACCCTGAAACACAACACAAAATCTCACCCGTCATCCATTTTCTCAGCAACCAAACAACACTCGGGAAAATGATCGACTGAACACCGAATCAGTAAGAAAATGTAACAAATCGTCTTCAGATTCGATTATGACCGATAAAAGCATTCAACAACCACTACCAGAATCCCAACTAATCCTTCGCTACCCACAAAAAATAGCATAAACAACACGGGAAAAAAACTTCGAGTGCGGGAAACACGAAAATCACCAAAACCCAGAAGAAAAAAAGTCATCTGGGCGATGAAACGAAAGCGATTTCTTCGACTTACATACAGATTGCGGCAATCTGATTGCAGAGGAAGAAGGATCGAAGAACGTGAAGGAAACAAAGTACAAAATGGCACGAGAAAGAGCGTCTCGAGAGAGTCAGAAGAATGAGAGAGATGGGCTCCTCTCCATTCAACGTCTTTTTCCTCTTTCCTCGATTTTGCCCGTTTTATTTGTCGGGTCATAAAATTCGGGTCGGATCTAAAAATTCGGAATGAATATGCTTTGTTCGATTGCGACTAAGACTTGGATAAATTACACAACAAATACTTATATTATATAACTAGGAAAATATAATTTCTCTTATTGTATTCTTTCAATTATCTCTCTTGGTCAATATGAGTTTCCTGAAATTTATATTTTTTTTTATTTCGATTGGGACGATTGTTTATATATTGTGAATGATATTTTATCAAATCAACTTTATTAAATTAAACTAAATATGAATTAAATATTAAAATATAAAAAATCTAAATAAAACTATTTTTTTAATATTAATGCCTATTTTAGCAAAAACTAAATAGAAACAGAAACCAAATCGTACAGAATCAAAATTTTAAAAAACTAAATATTTTCCGGGTGAAAATCAAAGTGTACAGCTGTGGTCACATTGGAAACATATTCAGGATTCAAAGAACAAGGCTTATTCCTCTCCATGTCTTTTCCAGACAAGAACTTCAACTAGTTTGAATCAGTTTCGGCATATCAGCCAAGAAATCAAGAATCAATCTGTAGCAACCCGAACCACCTGTTTACCGATGTTCCTGCCCGAAAACAGGCCAGCGAGGGCGGAGGGAGCGGTTTCAAGGCCTTCAGACATGTCCTCAATGTAAACAATCTTACCTTCCTTGTAATAACCCTTGACATGTTCCAAGAACTGCGGGTAGAGATGGAGGTAATCACTCTGCAAGAACCCTTCTATCCTTATCCGTTTGGAGATGGCGTTGAACAAGTTGTGGACTCCTTGGGGATTCGAGAGGCTTTGCAGAGATACCATCCCACAGAGAGCGATTCTTCCACGAACCCTCATGTTGAGGAGCACTGCATCAAGCATTGATCCGCCCACATTGTCGAAATATATGTCGATACCTTCCGGGAAGAACCTAATATCATACATACCATAGAAAGATAGATAGTTAACATTTTGTGAAGACTCTGTCACCTGAAATTATATGTCTTAAGCCTCAGATATCTCGCTATCTCGGTCACTGTCATTTCAGTTGTTCTATTTGGCATGCTAGTGAGATTATTTTCACTCGGGTCACTCCCGTTTAGAATAATAACTAAGCCTAGAAGGCATGCACGCTAAGATAATTTCAAGAAAACGTCAAGGATCAAATCAGACTCTGTTTACAGAAACAGATGGTATACGAGAAAGTTACCGGTGAACGATGTATAGAGAGCTTAGAAGGAAATAGTGAAGCAAGGAACTTGGAATATAAGATTCTTTGAGCTTATTTTTCCAATGTGTTTACCTCTTCAAAGCCGCATCAAGGTCTGCCTCTTCTTTGTAGTTAAACGCTTCATCGAACCCAAGTCTGTTTTTCAGAAGATCAACCTAATACAAGCCCGGTTAAGTTACAGGTATCATAGAAAAGGGAAAACTCTCTTCACCACAAGAGAAGTAAAATGAAATGATCTCAGGATCCAAGTTGAAGACTTCACCTTTTGTTTACTACCAGCACTTCCAACTACAAAGCAGCCGTGCAACTTAGCTAGTTGGCCTACGAGTTGCCCGACTGCTCCAGAAGCTGCAGAGACGAAAACATTCTCGCCCTTTTTTGGGGAACATATCTCATAAAACCCTGCATATGCAGTAAAGCCAGGCATGCCTGCAAAAAAACCCGAAGAAGAACGGTGATCGATCCATAAACTAAACACAAGTGTTCAGATAAATGAAATGAGTGGTATTATCTCCTTGATAGTTCATGAGAGAAGATGGGTCATACCGAGGAGCCCCAAATGGTAAGAAATCGGGATTTCGTGATCTAGCTCTACTTTCCTCAACTGTAAAGCATCGCTCTTACGAAGCAAACTGTACTCTTCCCAACCAGTTATCGCAGATATGATGTCACCCGGTTTAAAGTCAGGATCATCAGAATCTACCACTCTTGCTAAACCAAATCCTTCGATACGCTGCATCAAGATCAGACATCATATTCAACATTACAACGAAAGAAGATTACCAATGTTCCAGAAACTAATCTCCTCGCCATTTTACAATTTTCATCGCAAGAAATCTAGAGACCAACATTGCGATTATCTTTAAGGATGCAACAGGAGAAGCTTATAGATGTTCGAGATTGCTCATTCTCATATCGAAATCAATACTTAAACTATCAATCAAGCATCAAGGTAATAGAGCAAGAAAAGATTAAAAAAACATAACATCAACTGTCTCAAAATTCTTTTTTCTTCTTACAAAATAAAAGACTTTCAGAATTATATTGGGATCATATGAACAGTTCAGTTCCTTCAAATTGTCACCACTGCGAGACAGTTTATTACAAGAAAATTAGACAAGACTGGGAGAACTATCCAATAACACCATCAAATCTTTGTATTGTCCTGAACCTATTTCCGCTCATCCTTCTTCAAAGATCGCCAAACTAAGCACCCAGAATCAGAAAAGGCAAAGCGATTACAGATTCAAGCACCATGTCAGAAGAGAAATCGGAAGAAAAAAATCTGGGCAAAAGCGAAAAAGATATGTGGTTTTCAGACATACTCGACCAATAACAAAAGGCGGGATGTAAGAACCGTGAAAATCGCGCATACGGCTCCGCATGTAAGGATCACAAGACAAGTAGAGATTCTTGACGAGGAAACAGCCAGACCCTTTTGGAGCCCGGAGCTCAATCGTGTTCCCGAGCTTCACTTCCATGTCTGTCTCCGTCGGAACCCCTTCTATGTACTTCTTCAGCAACACTTGCTTGTTCTCCACCACTTCGACTTCTTCCCCCATCTTTTGGGTTTTTCTTTTCTTTCTATGATGGGTCTGAGAAAATTTGACGAAACAAATCGAGGAAGATCAATCCTTTCTGGTTCTTGGAGTTTGGTAAGACGAGTGATTCTCGTTTTGCATTCGACATGAGGTTTGTGAGGAGATGTCTGAAGTCATTCAATGTCGAGCCGTTTTCTCCTTTTTCCTCTTCTTTTCAAGAGTTCTGGAAAACAATTGATCTTTAGGATAGTGATTAATTAAATTAGATTATCTCCAATACTTTTAATTAATGTTAAATTATTCACGAGCTTCTTCTATTCTCTCTTAACATTCTCAAAAAAATGATTTTTCGAATAAAAAATTAAGTAGAGTAATCTGAAAACACCAAACGCCGTTGAGAGATTAGTTGAAACACTCACAAAAACCTCATCTTTAAGATAATAATTAAGTGAAATCATTTAAGAATGTTAGTTGCCCATAACTCAGAAAAAAATTTAAAATAAAAGAGTTATCAGAACATATAAATATTTACAAATGGCGTACAAAAATTAGAAATGAAATGTTTGGTCGATTATATAGAAATGAAATGTTTTGTGTTGTTTAGACTGCATTGAGTATTTCGATTATATAATTGAATCTAATAATAATTAATTGAGTGTATCTCCGAAATTAATCCAAATTAAATCTAATGTGATATATTTTTAAAAAATTAAAATAATTGAACCTAAACAGATAAAAACAATAATTTTAAAAATCAAACTACATAAAAATTTAAAAAAGTAAACATGAAAAATCTAATCTTAACGGAAATAGATATAAATCTTAACGGGAATCAATTATACAACTGAAATAGATAGTAATTTTACATAACAATAATATTTATCCTTCCAAAAATAACATAAAAAGAATATTCTATTCTTTGGAAACAAATAAAAAAGATATTATACCTATTTTGTAAAATAGAGTTTTAGGAGAATTAAATGGTACAATGATTTTGTGAGAATCAAATGAGGAAAGGCAATAAGGCACATAGATATTTGATTCCTATTTTTACATTTACGCCATTATTATTATTATTTTATTGTATATATCTCTCTCCTTTTATGAATAATAACATACCAGATTCTATATCATACATATATCTTTATTATAATGTTTACCACATCAGATTCTCATCCACCAATGCAACGAAACCTATAACAGACCAAATCCTCGCCAACTTATTTTCTTTATTTCCCCACCAAAAAAAAGGCAAAGCAAAGAATAAAACTCGTTTTCCTCCATTGATCTGCAACGTGAGCTTCTCAATCTGTACATCTAAACCTATACACACACACACATACATACTGCATCATTGTGTACGTACATATATACATACATATACTATGTTTCTGAAAATTGGAGCTATGTTGCAGTGGAAGATGGGAGGAGGAGGAGGAGGAGAAACAAAGAGCGTC